ATCTTCTTTTCTCATCCTTAGTTTCTTTTGTTTGATCAAAAAAATATAGAGATTCCGAACACACCCCTCGAGGACAAGTCCACTCTATGTCCCTGGGTTTGCTCATTATGCCGCGATCTTTTGAGCACAATACCTGTCGTGATTTCGCCATCCATCTCTATTCCAAGGATCATGCAAATGTGGTAAGCATCTTCCACATGATATCTTTTAAGCATCTTCCACATGGTATCTTTCTTTTAACCATCTTCCTCACACTTTTCCTTACATCCTTACATTTGTAACCAGTTGTTTAGTATTACACTATTACTCACTCTCCTCCTGGCAAGTGGCTTGATCTTGAGCACAATACCTATCGTGATTTTCATTTTTTTTTTTTTTTAAGAATTTGAAAAGAGATATTGAAAAAAGAATTATCTATTAGAATATGATTTTACGTATTTTTTTTAATTAATTTATGAAGATAATTTGATGTTAATTAAATATTTACTTTAAGTTAATATATTGATATTACATTTTTATTTTAAATAATCAATGCAAAAATTATAAAATCTAGAGGGACACATGTCAAAATTAAGTAAAAAGAAAGTACTAAAAATGAAAATTTTAACACCAAAAGTGACATGTGGCAGCCTTTCAAAACTTCACTTAAAAAAAACTTTAAAATATTATATTAGATTATCAATTTATATCAATTTTAATTAAGAAGTTAATCTTTTTAATTTGTTGATGATGGATGAGGATGATAGTGGTCATATGCATTAATTTTGTCAAACCTAACACTCACCATTCTAGAATGATAAGAACTTGTTAGCCGTGTATCACGATTCATAACAATACAAATTAACAGTAAGATTCGACCTTTTTACGCACATTAAAGTTAGGTTTTTACACGTCAATAATATGCAAGATGAGACAATCGTGTAAAACAAAAAGAAAAACACATCTATTTACCTATTAACCGTCACGCCCTCTATATAAACGAAGGAGACCACAACTGAAAATACTCATCAACCAAACAAATACACAATTCACTCACTACACAAAGAAA